CTCACTCTCTTTCAAGATACCATACTTTTCTGTTTATAAGACAACCCCCCTTTCCTAACCCCAAATTAGAAAATTTGATGCCCGCTTTTCCCTTCCTTTTGCTAAGCAATGGAGCTTAGCAAAGGGAAGGGAGAAGCAGGGATCAAAGCGCTCCCTTTGACCGCCGCTTTTCCTTGCCTTTTGTGAAGCCACGGGGCTTAGCAAAAAGGAAGGGAAGGCTCCCTTCGGGTAAAGCAGCGATGAAAGGGTTTCAGGATCAAAGGGCTGTGATCATGCCCGAAGGGAGCCTTCCCTTCCTTTTTGCTAAGCCCTGTGGATTCACAAAAGGCAGGGAAAAGCAGCTGCCTTCCATGTATAAAATAACCCTCAATTTTTTATCTAATTATTTAAGGAAAAAGTGTCATTTTATACATGGAAAAATATGGTCAGTAAGATTGGTAATTTCAATTGATTTGATCTGTTTTAAATTGGGGGACATTTAAGACCACTTGTTTCTGCACAGGGGTGTGGGTGTAAAACAGTTTTACCTTTTAGGCCCAAACTTCCCCAAATTTGTCTGCTACATCAAATTTGGGGCTGATCCAATGCCAAATTTCTAAGTTAGAATTGTTTGTTTCGGCTGCCCCTGTTTTTAGAATTGCTTTGTAGAATGTTTATTTGCTCTACCAGCACAATAACATCAGGGCCCTCTCAGGCAGTGATATTAATTCCAAAACTGAACACCAAGTTTGGTGTGCATTTTGCTCTAGGTTTCAAATTCTTTTTAAAGTGTCCTCTGAAATGATTCTAGCCTTTGTGGCGCAGAAAGAGGAGGCAATGTTTTCACTCATCTCCAGGACAATGATCAGCACCTAACACAATCACATGTGTTTATTTGCTGCAAAAATAAAAAGAAAGAAAAGAAAAGAAAAGAAAGAAAGAAAGAAAGAAAGAAAGAAAGAAAGAAAGAAAGAAAGAAAGAAAGAAAGAAAAAAAGAAAGAAAGAAAGAAAAAGAAAATTCTGCCACCTCTTTACATTTTCTAACTTGTGATTGCCAGGACTAGGCATGACAGGATACCAAAAGTGGCAGCCCAGAAAATTCAAAGGAAATATTTCTCTACAACATCAGGAGGCATATGATGATCCTATAATTGTGCATATCATTTTATTAATTGCATATGAGAGAGGTCTGATCTGCACCGCACAAAAATAAAAAATGATGCCTTTACTTTCAGTAGTTTCATTACTAGTCTTCACTGGCTTCATGACACTTTCTAAAGGTAACAAAATATTGTACAGATGATCCTTTTCTCTTTATCACCCAGCTGCCCAACTCTTCATCTGTTTTGGCCTTCACAGCACCCTTTCTTCACCTCCATCTTTATGCATTCTTCCATGCTGCTCTCTGTTCCCAAAACAACCCATATTTCTGTCAAACTACTTTGTCTCTGTGACTCCGAATTCTCTGCATTTTGACACTTCTATGCTTTCTCACACCAGCCTGGCTTAGACTGGAAGCCCTCTATTGTTGTGTACCAGGTATGTCTAGTTTGCTTTTTGTTTGTTTATGGTTTTTAAAAAATTCAAGTAGCATGAACTCACCAACAAAACTGAACAAAGCTGCTCTAGAATATTCCTCCTGAGAGGATATGAAATGTTAAATTTAAACAGGCCATTATCGGGATCTTGCCAGTAGAAACGCAGTGTTGCAGATAATGAAACAGTACTAAAGATAAGCTGGGATCATCAAAGTTATCAAAAGGAAATAGAAAGAATTCTTTGGGGGCTGGGAAAGGTAAGCCATAAATCAAGTTGTAATAAAAGACCAAGAAACGGAAAACTGAGCATTATGCCAATAACTTTGTCAGTCATTGTTTGCAACAGTATGCTTTTTGCTACTACAGTATATGTGTTGATATTGATGAATATTTTTCTTGTTTGTCTCAATACAGTGTTGCAGACGTTAATCATTAATGCACTGTAGGCTTTTAGAATCTGCAAAAATGACACTAGAAATAATTAAAATCACAGTAGATGCTACTTGAAAATGTATCTATGCACTTTACCACAATTCCTTTAACCTTTGTAGTATGACAGTGTTAAACATAACACACTGGTATAAATACAATTTCCTCTTCATTAACATAGCATAAAAATGAATTTCACATTGCACATCATTAGAAATCTTTGCACTCTTCAATGTTAATAAAACAAATGAAAATAGCTATATAGGAAGCCTTCTTTATAATGCTAATGAAAATTTTGTCAACTCAAATTCAGTCAATCTCCTAATTTGGGGACAGCCAGCATATGACAGATTATAGGCATCAAGAGATCCTTAGTATTCCTACTTTTCAAAGTGGTTGTTTACATTTCTAACTGTCATCAAAATTCTCCCCCCTCCACCTTTCATGATTTAAGAAAACTTGATTAGAGATGGGCACTAAGTGGGTAGTTGTGCTTCCCTCCCTGCTTCCCAGAACAACTACCCACCAGCTTGTTCTCTTGACAACATTCTATTAGCTTTTGCCCTGCCTTACCTGTTATTCCTTTTATCTCTTAACTCCCTGTATAAAGGAAGTCAACAATCATGTTTATGGAACATGTCACAGAAAACATCTCCAAAAGGATAAAATCATCTCCTGAAGAACATCTCCCAAGAACCATGGTCACCTGTTTTTTGCAAACAAGTGGGAAAAGTGCATATGGACTGAGAGCAGCCAGGAGATTAAACATGGGAATTACACAGATAAAGATGGGTGAGCTTTACTCTTAGAGAATATATTTTTCTGTGTGTCAACTAAAAGCTAAATAATGCTTTTGATTTTGTGTATTTTTACTTTTTAAAAGTTTCAAAACTTTTTTATGCCTGCTATTGAAAATTATAAGGCTTTTTTGTTCTTGTTCTTAAGAACTTTGAAATGCTACAGAGTGTTTACTGACATTATAAATGGCTTTTAATATTTATTTACTTATTTACTTATTTACTTCGAAATGCTACAGAGTGTTTTCTGTCATTATAATGGCTTTTAATATTTATTTATTTATTTATTTGAATTTATACCCAGCCCATCTACTCTATTTTATTGTACTATGTTGTAACGGACTATATTATATTGTTTATACTATTGTTTTATATTGTTTTATTTGATATATGTTGCAATGGCCTGTATGCCACGCAATAAACTTATTTTTGCTTGCTTGCTTGCCATTATAGGCTATAAGGTCCAGTATTTTCATGTTTTTATAATTTTGATTCAAACATGACTAAGTTTTTTTCTGGATTTTGCATAGCTTCAAGTTTACAACTGAGATGTATTTTCACACTTAAGTATTCACACAAAGCTTAAGTTCCATTTTTATGGATATTTAAGTATTTTAAGCCTATTATTTTTGCATATACAAAGCTTAAGTTCCGTTTTTATGGATCTTTAAGTATTTTAAGCCATTATTTTTGCATGTCTGTATAACCTTTGGAATTAAGCCTATAGTTTTACTTCATAGCTGTAAGACTGTCTTGGATAGATTTTTGGCTTTGCTACTTTTAAGCACGGAACCTAAAAATGATGTAAATAAATAGAACTTGCTTAAAATTAACAAGTTCTGGCCTGGCCTGGAATTATTGCAACAATGAAGAAACCTATAATGAGATATCCAGATGAGTTTACAAATAGTTTGCAACTGATTATTTGGTATCATTCTGGTATTACTGGGATAATGTCAGCTACGATGAATCACAGAATCTGTTCTCTTAACCTGGGAAGCCTGTAAATCTTACAGGACTCTTAGGGGAGTCAGTAGTCGAAATCAACACCTGACACCTGGAAGACACAGTGGAGAATCAAACTTCCAATCTCTAGCTCAGCCACCCCCTTTTTTTTTTAACCTGGTAATTTCCAGGGTAAAATGTAACCTTTAAAGATCTGCATTACATACTGTGACTAATTATCTTGGCTTGAATGTTCAAAAAAAAAACACACCCAAATGCATAAAATCTGTCACCAAGAGTACTTTCATGCTAATAATAGATAACTGGTTAACACACTACATTCATAATTACTAGACCTATGTTGGACATGAATTGTTCTGAAATAATGGAACGTTCATGCTACATCTGTCTGTAACATTGTGTGTTCTGCAGTTGGTCTTGCGATTATATGCTTTTGGACAAAGACTACATGCTCATGACCTTGTTTTTTACTTGGGCAGAAGATCATTTTCTACACCATGCATATTCTAGATGCGAAACACTACAACGTATCTAATAATTGGATCATAAATGAAGATGACACAGTGACTGATGCATAAGTGTTTTCAGTCTCATGTGGTAAACATAACTCTGCTTATTTTATAAAAAGCCCATAGCTTTTTAAGCATGAAATGTATTTGTGTGTTAAGTATTCTTCCCTACCACACTGCAGAGTTATAACATAGTAATTCATTCAGTTTTTCTAGTCTTTTTCATCACAAAATACATCCTACAGAACTACACAAAATATATCCAAAGTCAGGAAAGGAAACCCATACTATGCATATATTTCTCCATAGTATCACAAGGTTAAACAATTTTGGCAGGGGTTAGGAACACTGGGTTCTTCAAAAATTGATGAACGTATATTTCTTTCATACCCCACCATTGCTAGTCTAGCTAAGATTGAATGGACCGGGGGTTCAACAGCATCTAGAGGAGTGGTTCCCAAGCTTAGGCAATCCAGGTGTTCTTGGATTGCATTTTCCAGAAGCCTGTGCAGGTTTGGGTTTCTGAGAGTTGCAGTCTATGAACATCTGGGTTACCAAAGGTTGGGAGCCACTGATCTAGAAGACCACATGTTCTCCACTCTCAATTTATATGGTAAACAAAATATTAAAATTAAGTGAATGTATTTTAGTTGAGAGTAGATAGATACAAATATACCAATCACATCAAAGCATCAGGATATCCATAGAGAATTACATACATGACATATTCAACTACTAAAATATACTGTGCAGCAACAGAGCCATTGGTTAGGTTACTGACCCTTTCTTGGTGGTGACCGTGATTTCTTTTGTTTGATCTTTTCCTTTTCTCCCATTCGGAGTATGCTTGAGAGAATAGGGTACTGTAATCTTCTCAAATACAAATGAAGCTCCTCAAGATTTTTCACATTCATTATCTGTTAAAACCAACATTTCATTCGTCAAATCTATTTCTATAGCAATATACTAAACATTTTTGTTCATCATTCGTTACACCAAGATCCATCTCTCTGCGGTTTGTAAATGACAAGAGCACTTTAACTTTATCTGTGCGAACAAATAACAAAAGCTTTTTTTGAAGAGAAGTGTGTACTATTTGCAGGGTATTTTCTGCAAGGGTCTGTGCTGGCTGATTTGCACTAAAATGGAGTTTAGTCTTTTGGTTTTAAAATCAGAAATGTTTTTGCAAAGGTCTGTGCTGGCTGGTGGGCTCTAAAATGTTGCTTGGTTTGGTTTAAAATGTATTAGTGTAAAATGTGTGGGTTTAGCATGTGTGGGTTTAAAATGTGTTTTAGACTCCAAACACTCCCCCCATTGTCTTCTCTCTGTGTGTCTTCTCTCTTTTTGTGCTTAAAAGCACAAACCTTTGTCTGAGGGGTCTGCGCCCCACTGATGACCTTCTTTCTTTCCTCTTTTCCCCATTGTTCCCTCCCTCCCTCTTTTCCTGCCCCTTTTAAAACCTAAGACATCTTAGGTTTTTTAAAAAAATCTCCCCCTAGTGGTAGAGGACGGATTAACTGGATTTGCATTCGTTCCTATGGGAACAAATGTTTCAACTTACAACCGGCGCCTCTATATACAAACAAAAAAACAGCCGGAACGGATTAATCAGGTTTCAATGCATTTCAATGGGAAATGCTGATTTAACTTACAAACATTTTGACTTACGAACATCTTCTGGGACAGATTAAGTTTGTAAGTCAAGGCTCCACTGTATTATATTCACTTTTCTCTTTTATTCACTACTGCATCACACTGTTGATTCAGCTTGTAGTCTTCTAAGTCCTCTAGGTCCTCTTCACAAGTGCTACCACCAAGTTAGCTGTTTTCAATCTTATAATGGTGCATCTTATTTTTTCAGTCTAAATATAAGATTTTACATTGTGTTTGCTTTGACCCAGTTCTTCAATTTGTTAAAGTCATCTTGAATCCCAATTTTGTCTTCTGAAATATTAACTAGTTCAGCAGCATCCCAATTTGGTGTCATCTGCAAATCTGATGAGTACCCTCCCCATACCTTCATTCAAGTTATTTACTAAGATGGTGAATAACAGTGGGATCCGAACAAAACTCTGTGTCTTCTACTTGTCACTTGTCTCCAGGATGATGAGGAAACATTGGTGAAAACCAGTATAGCTACAAATACTGAATGGCAGCATTATTTAGCCACATTTTAAGCAAAAGCAAAGCAAGCAAAGCACAAGGCGCAGTGGTTAAACTGCACATTTTAACAAAGAGTGCCATCATTCAAAACTTTGCTAAAATCAAGATACATTAGGCCCACAACATTTCCCTCATCATTATGTGTCTCTTTCAGAAAAAGAGGTGAGTTTAGTTTGGTATAACTTCTTTTTTGAGAAACCCATGCTGAGTCCATGTTGGGCTTCTTTGTGTCTAGCCTTGAGCATTAAGTTTGACTTGTGGGCATGGTTTGTTTAATTGTTAGGCTTAACAATTTTATATATCAACAATAGTGGTTGAAGAAATATACCAAAGCTTAAGGGAAGATGTAGTGGCTTGTGTTATAATTTCAGAGAGGGGGGAAAAGAGGAGTCTTTTTACTAGGATGCCAACTTAATGCCAGCAGAAACTGTCCTCAGCAGCTCAGTGCTTGAGGGAAGACGCTGTAGGTAAAAGGAAAGCAGAACTCTTGATGGAGTTTTGTAGAGAACTATTTCTGACTTGTATACCCAGACTATGCTGCCTGTGTATTAGAGCCACAGGCCACCATCATTGAAAATGGTAGCAGATGTTGCCCACCCTAGCTGAAGCCATTTCATGTCAATTTAAAATATAGCATTGCAGTTCCTAGTGATGAACAAGCCTTTTTATTTTGTTATATTCAGTCTGACACAGATTGCAGCCAAATTGCTTTAATAATATTTTCCCTTATCTTGGGGTATAATTTAGACACATAAGTGATGAAAATCATTCCACAAGTTTTTCCAGACTTCCAGTATTACTTTGTATCAACAAAGTAATAATAAAAAGTATCAATTAAGCCTTAAAAAATAATGCACAAATGTTTGACTATGCTTTAAAAAAGCTCTATATGACTACATCTGTTAGTTCAAACTTATACTTTCTCTATTTAATTTTATAAATCATTTTCATTCCTTTTCAGGGTGCCATTTTGACTACTAAAATACTGCAATTCAGACACTAGCAAATTCTGCAGAAAGAAAAGTCAAAGTAGGCTGGAAAAAGATAAAGAAGACAAAAGAAAGAGAATTTAAAATGACAATAAAAGTATAGTGTTTTGTTCTTTTGAAAGAAGGAACAAAAGGAACATTTTAACTAATGTGATAGTGGTCATAGGGTAGCCATTCATCCAGGTTCAAATACAGAAACCGTATGGATAAAATCCAAAAAACCCAAACGAAAACAAGACAAAAAAGTGGCACCTTAAAGACCAACTATCATATTTTAATGTGAGCTTTCGTGGATATGTCCACTGCATCAGATATACGGAGACAGAATGAAATGTTGAATGAAATATCAGTTTCATACTATATATCCACTGGCTCTTGGGTGTATGGAATGTTTAGGTAAAGGCAAAGGTTCCCCTTGACCTATCCACTGGCTTTTGGGTGTATGGAATATTTAGGTAAAGGCAAAGGTTCCCTTGACATTTAGTCCAGTCGTGTCCAACTCTAGGGTGTGGTGTCCATCCCCGTTTCCAAACCGTAGAGTCAGCATTTGCCGGTAGAGAGTTTCCATGGTCACATGGCCAGTGTGACTAGACATGGAACACCGTTACCTTCCCACCGAAGTGGCACCTATTTATCTACTTGCATTTACATGCTTTCAAACTGCTAGGTTGGCAGGAGCTGGGACAAGCAACGGGAGCTCACATTGTGTGGATTCAATCTTACGACTGTCGGTCTTCTGACCTTGTAGCACAGAGGCTTCTGAGGATTAACTCGCAGTGCCACCACATCCCTATTTATGGAATATTTATGTGCAGTAATTATGGTTTATGTTGTTTTAGAGCTCTGTTGTAAAAATCTCTCAGGACATAGAAAACAGACACCAGGCTTGGGCAAAGATGTGACCAGTGGGGAAAGAAAAAAGAGGAAGGGTGTGGGTGCTTGCTTTTTGTTTTTGTTTGTTTTTGAAGACTGGGGATACACTTAAAACTCACGAGGAAGAGAAAAGGAGAACACTAAATATAAAGGTGAAAGATGGCAGAGGAATTGTGTGTACTAATGTAGTGAATTTTGACAGTTTTACCTTTGATTTGTGATGAGAGATGGGCTTGGTAGTAGTGAGTTTTTACCTTTGATTTGTAATGAGAGATGGGCTTGGTAGTAGTGAAAAAATAACAGTGGCAATAGGTAATAGCAGAAATATTACATTTGGTAAAGTCTTAAGAAACCTAGGATTACAGTTGTGTTCAAAATTATTCAACCCCCAATGCTGTAAAGGGGTTTATAATGATTCCGTTCTAAAACAGTGACTTTCAAATTTTCCAGTGTCCTGGTAGACTGAAATGGCTGGAGATGGGTTTCCGTGAACTGTCATTTCTGATGTCAGATTTGTGACGACTGATCTGTTTCCATAGAGACTGTCCTGTTTGTTCTACGTAGAGTGCAGAGGAGCATGGTTGGCAAATGATGGGACAGATCATATTAGGTGATGAGCATATGAAGCTGCCTTTGATATTGTGTGTGGCATTGTTAAGTCCTGTAATTATGTTGCCAGAATAGATGTGTGGGCAGAATTGGCATTGGGGTCTATGGCAGAGTTTATTCCCCCTGTCTGTGTTGCTGTTTTGTGGTCCATTGCATGTTAGTATTTCCTTGAGGTTGTATGTAGGCAAGTATGGGTCTCCCACCAAGGGCTTCTTGTCAAGGATAGGCTGGAGAACACTTAAGATGTGGGTGAGTTGTCTCAGTTTTGGATTCTGCTTGATATGCTTGCACAGACTACCATGATTATCTCATCTAAAAATTGCACACTCAGAGAGAGACATTTTAAAATTGTTATTATAATTGAAATAAAAACGCAAGGTCAATGACATAGATCAGTGGTTCCCAAACCTGGGTAACCTAGTTGTTCTTTGATTATGACTTTTGAACCTATATTTTGTGAGCATCTGAATACCACACTGCCACACCTCTGGAAATGTGCACAACATTCTTTGATTTATTTCATTCATTCTTCTCTTTAGTGTTCTTCTAATCTGTTTCTATTGAGCAAGTACACACACCATTCATCTGTCACTAATACATCTACAGACACGCTGCTATAGGACAGACACTGCCATCACTCCTGTAAACTTAGCCAGCCAGCCGACACCTCCACTCTCCATGGTTCTTGTCTTCTTTTTCTTAATGATCAACTGCACACTTACAGAAAGTCTTTGTAATCCCTCCCTACATACAAGCTTGCTAGGATTGATGGCTGCTGTGGCATGAAGATAGACCTCCAAATTCAAAAATGCAATGCAACTTAGTCCAATTTAATCTTAATCTATAAATGTGGGAAACGTGAAGAGCACAGGAACAAAGAGTCCAAAATCAAGAACATATGTGGAGATCAGATTTGGGACAAAATCTGGAGAAGCTAAAACACTGCAGACAGACTAGTAGGTACAAAAAGGACTCCTGGCCATGCCATATAGTCAATAGGGAATTGGACAGAAAAGGTCAATGCTTTCTAGTTGTAGTTAAATCCTGAACTGTGTTGAAAATGAATCAAAAGAAAACAAAAATACTTTTTAAAAATATGAGAGATCAAGAACGATTGAAAATAATAGAAAGGACCAACTTTCAAGACAAGAAGAGAGTCAGATAAAATACTTAGGAATTCAAATCACAAAGAACACAAGTACACTATTCAAAGACAATTATATGAAATTAATTAAAGAGATACAGACAAGCTTGGTGAGATGGGATAAACTACAGCTGTTGTTGATGGGAAGAACAGCAACTATCAAAATGTTCCACTCAAAATTTTATTCTTATTCCAGACAATTTCCGTGATGTTAAAACAGTCTTTCTTCCAAGAACTTAATAAGATAATCATGAGATTCATCTGGCAAGGTAAAAAACCAAGAATCAAAATCAAAGCAATGCAAGATGCCAAACAAAGAGCAGGTTTTGGTCTTACAGATTGGATGTTATATTATATAGCCTGTGTATTAGTTTGGATAAAGGAACAGATAACCTTAGATAATGATAGGCTATTTAATTTAAAAGGACATGATCTGCAGTTAGGATGGCATGCTTTTTATGGTATAAAAAAGACAACATAAAAGTTTCAATATTCACATATGAAGAGCCCTACTATAGACTTGGAGAAGAAGTGTGAAGGCAAGTGTGAAGGCAAGAGGAGAAGGGGACGACAGAGGACGAGATGGCTGGACAGTGTCATCGAAACTACCAACATGAATTTGACCAAACTCTGGGAGGCAGTGGAAGACAGGACGGCCTGGCATGCTCTGGTCCATGGGGTCAGAAAGAGTCAGACACAACTTAACGACTAAACAACAGTCTGAAATAAAAAGGTTTTAAAAAATAAAAGTCCTGAACTTTGTTCTGCAGTGGCACAGAACTCATCTGAGGGCCTACAGAGAGAGTGCAAGAAAAGAATAGAACAGGCCCCTGGTAATGAGTCTCTGTTACCATGTTTCCCTCAAAATAAGACCTAACCTGAAAAGAAGCCCTAGTATGATAAGCCCTACCCCAAAAAATAAGCCCCACCCTCCACCATTGTGCAGCATTGTGCAGCAACCAAAGGATGACATGGCTGTATTTGAATAAATGTGGATTGTACATGAAAAAAAGAAAACATCCCCTCAAAATAAGCCCTAATGCATTTTTGGAGCAAAAATTAATGTAAGGCCCTATCTTATTTTTGGGAAAACATGGTAAGAGTTTGGTGAAATGTCTTCTAATGGCAGAATGGTTAATTTTCTAAGACCAAGTTTAATGAACTAGGAGAGTCTAACAAGAAAATCTTACCTCTGTGGGAATTACTTCTGTCACAACCTTTCACATATTGACTTACAAAGATGGTCAAGAGCCCCTTCAATTTACCATTGGCCAAGTGTGCTGTTTTATGGCAAGTGACACAAGGACAAGCTGCCAATTTCAAGTAGCAATGCAGGAAATCTCAAGAGGTTGCATGGCTGTGCGTTGCCAGCCAGCGAACCAACCATGAGGATTGATCAGAGCCAACATTCCTGACCAGAGAAACACCATTTTCTGTCTGGTCAATTCCCTGGCCATGGCAGCCAGTGTTTGCTGGAACCTCCTGAACCTTCCTCCCTTTACTCTCAATTCAAAGGCTGTTGGGCAGCTAATGAGTAGGTTACAGATGTTGCACATTGGTGGGAATTATGGTTATGGCTATGCACAGGATTCTGATTCTTGTTGATGCTCACTTTCTGCCACAACATCAGTTAAGAGGTTCTGGATGTTGGGACAAATATAGTGGGTTCCTATATTTTCCATTTCTGTGGATCATCTCAAGAGCTCTTGGGGTAATGACATTTGGGATTTACCCACCTCACAGGCAGCTGCTTCACATCTAGATGGCAGGAGGTTCACCAAAAAGTCAACTGCCCATAAGAGAACCTGTCATCCCATGATTCTTCAGCAGATGGGCCAGTGGTGATAATTCAATAGCTGCTAAGTGGGTCATTCTGATTCTCTCCTATGCCAAGACTGTTTCAGCTGTAGCCAATAAAGTTATGGCCACATTTTATTCCATCGGAATTGTGTGTCATGTACTACTTTCCATTCTCTGTGCACACTGTGACCTTATATACTGCTGAGGCCACAAAAGACTAGCAATTAAGAACAAAGTATTTTTCTACCCCAATTTAATTCCTTTACGTTTTTAATAACTTTACTTGGATCTACAGAATAACTCTTGCTGCTATATGCAAAGTACAAATTCCTCTACAATAGTTTCTTTATTAAGGCATACATAGCACACTTACTTGGATCCCAGATGTACATTTTTTATCCACAGTGTGCTGTTCTGGATTAATGGTATGAAACAGAAAGCTTTTGCTGCTATGAACTGTAGGTCTCTTTTGAATATACATTCCCTTTGTTCCATCTCTGAAGTACCGTTTCTGTCGCAGAACTTCACGTACAGGAATCAAACTTTTGTGATTTTTTTTAAAAAGAAGATTGACAATTTTATTTCAAGGAGGTAAAAAAAATCTGATCAATATGGAGTAAGCCCAAAGCAATATAGAAACATTCATTTTCATACAACTCTATTTTGTCTTAGTAGTCTGCATGCATTTTCCAAACAACCAACAAATCAACCAAGAAATTATGTGCCAAAGCTTTATTCCTGTTCTTACAAACTGATAATGCAGAATTGCTGGGAATGGATTACGAGTAACAAGCAAGGACGCTAGTACATGCTGCCCTATTTGGTTTTTCTTGCATTAAGAAGTTCACAAAGCAACCACAAGCTCACCAGTTTAGCATTGCATCCAAATCCAGACTTTGTGTTGCTACTCTCTAATAAAAATAATAATTGTGTGCTGTCAGCCCTTGTCAGGATTTTCTAGGTAGAGAAATGATTATTCTCTTTGTGGTTTACCATTCCCTTCTTCTGAGGGCATCCTGGAACTGTGCAACTTGCCAAAGGCCATGCAGACTGACTCTTTTGGGATGCACAGTGGGGAACTGACCACTCAATCTCTGGCTCACTGAACTATCCACCCAGCTTACTCTTTAATAAGCCAGCTACAAATCCTGGCTTTGAACTTTGGTTTGTTAAGATAGAGACAAATCAGGAGTCCAATTACAGATGTAAAGATAATTTTTGTTTAGTCTGTTATATTCTGGTTATTTTAGCAATACAGTGGTGCCTCGCTTGACGACGTTAATTCATTCCAACGAAATCGCTGTAGAGCAAAAATGTTGAAAAGCGAAAGTTAAAAAGCCCATTGAAACGCATTGAAAACCGTTCAATACGTTCCAATGGCCTGAATAACACACTGTCCAGCGAAGATCCTCCATAGGGGCGGCCATTTTCGCTGCCTGTAAAGCGAGGAATCAATCCAAAAACACAGCGGGGAGCCATTTTGAGCAGCCGGCAGCCATTTTGAAAACCCGACAATCAGCTGTTTTGATTGTCATAATGTAAAGAATCGGTTCCCAAAGCAGGGAACCAATCATCTTAAAGCAAAAAATCCCCATTAAAACATCGTTTTGCGATCGCAAAAATGTCGTGAAGCGGATTCGTCATTATACGGGGTAATCATTAAGTGGGCACGACTGTATCTACTTTTAGGAGGAGACAAGCAGTGGAGAATGAGCAGCATGCATCAGGATATTGGTTTGTTAGAAGAAGATCAGAATTCTGACTTTAGCACTTCACTTTGGCTTAGCATTTTAAGGAGTCACAGTCAATGTCTGAACAATAGCTAAGCACAGACATTTAGGAAAGGAGCGGAAAGATGCAATAGGCTGATGTATGAAAGCAAGACATATATGCAAGAAAACCTGTATTCAAACTTGCATTCAAATTTAATATAGTTTTAAATTCCAATTGGCATAATCCTTGTTATGGTTATTTTAGCAATGTTAGTAGAGAAATGGAAATTACCACCACCACCCTAGTAAAGCAAAAGCAAAAACAAACAAAAAACAAACCAGTAGAATTCAAGCACAAGCCTTACATCCAGTCTCCCATCTGCTGATGCACCCAGTCTGAGAATATGTATAATCAGTAGTGAAGCTATAATGGAAATGGAAGTACATCCCACTGTCCTTCTCAATGATTTCTTTAGTGTTATAGAAATATGAAGGGTGCCATAAACATTGTTATGCTAGAAAAGCTATGACTGGACTACATTTTTTTAAAACAAAGATAAGAAGGAGACATTTTCAAGCTACGTCTAAAGTGAAGTGTGTTTTATAGGGTTTTTTCCCCCAAGAGTTACAATAAATTTCAAGCAGTTCTTTAAAGAATATAACAAATGTGAGGATGGGAAAATATGCTGTAAAATTTTTAATCCAATATAAGAACAAATCGTGGGCATCCTTCATATTTCCATAACATTACAGGTACAGAAGCTTTGTTGCCGATTATATATATTCTTAGATTGAGTCTAAAGTGATATTCAAAGTTCAAAGAAGCCCACACTTGTTACGGTAATTACATAGTAAATACAAATGGAAAGTGCATGCTTTTAAAAATGTGACAGTCTGTTTAAAAAAAGACTGACAGAACATTATTTGTCTTCACAGTAATACACTAATGAAAGAGTTTCGAAGACACTGTAGAGGCACTGAAAATTTTAGCATAATATACTGTGTCCTATTAACAACTTGTAAAATACATAAAGTATGAAGGACAAAAATATGTAAGGTCTGTGCTTTGAACAGCTATTAATTTAAGAGGCTTCAGCTGTGTTATGTGTTCAGGCATTAAGAAGAGTTATCTTCTGTTGGAAATGAAGAGGACTTTGTAGGCCCTGCCTATCATTATTCTCGCTGAATATGAATAAGCTGCTGCATGACATTATTTTAAAAAATGGATACATAAGAATATTCTTTGTACATGACACTTTTATTTTATCAAAAATGATCAATCCAACTTTTTACTGTTAGCCAATTATGAGAATATTTAAACTTTTATTAACATAACATCAAACATGCTTAAGCAGCAGGAAGTTACACAGGAAGTTGGGGAGCTGTCACATTCCCATGGTAAGGCCCAGAACTACCTGGATACAAATTTCGTTCCGCTCAAACATGAATGAGATTGCCCTGCTAACCTAGCATCCAAAGGTGGGTGTCCACTAGATCCCACAACAACAAGTGCGTGTAGGCCTTTCTTCTCCTTACTTAGAGCCCACTGAAGTGTCCAAAATTTGCTGTGGAGCAGGGGTCCCCAACCCCAGGTCCGCGGCCCGGTGCCGGTCCGTGGGCTTCCCAGGACTGGGCCGTGGAGACAGATTCCGTCCCGCCCCCCCGCACGGTGGGTGTGTTGCACTCTCGGGCGCGTCGTGCTCATGGGGGGGTCATGCTTGCGTGCAAGCACAACACCCCCACAAGTGCAACACACCTCCCGCAAGCGTGACATGACCCCCCGCACAGAAACCCCCCCAACCAGTCCGCAGTTCCAAAAAGGTTGGGGACTGCTGCTCTAGGGATCATTTTGCCCTCCAGATTACTGTTTTAGGGCAGTGGTTCCCAACCTTTTTAAAGTCACAATTACATTTTATAATAGCCAGGTAACATGTGACACCCTACCACATTTCCATGAAAATGCATTTTAATAGTATAAAATCATCGCTTCTTAGAAAGTAGGCCTGATTTCCTCACAGATACATAAACACTAACTTTAATATACCGCTTTGGGAAATCAAGGAAGAAACTATTTAACAAGATACAACACACATAAGGCAACCTGTGACCCCCTGGAAGCACTTTGCACACCCCTTGAGGATCATGAAACCCAGGTTGGGAAACACTGTTTTAGAGCATAGAGATGGTCATACATAAAACATAACACAACAGAATTACACCACTGGATCCTGGCATTAGTATCATATCCAATTCTTCAAAAAACGTCTGATTTATAAATGTGGGATGTTGTGCTTCTGTACCAATTCAAAAAGCTAGGAAATGGCTCAATATTGCTGCAAAATATCGTGCCCGCATTGCCAGCAGGAAAAAAATATGCAAAGCTTTACAAGATGATCTACAGGATATTCTCTTCTCCTCATTACCATTCACACTTGTTGAAACTGGGTAAGAAGTGGTTAACTGATGAAAAAATTAATCATTTTCTGGGATTCTCCCTTGCATTGTGTCACTTTGTGGATGGTAGTGGTCCTGGGGGACTCTTGTTCAACACCTTGACCATTATCCTCTTCAGTGTCTTGGAGTTCCATCATTCCCCATACTATTTCACATATAAATGAAAAACACTGTCCAGAATGTTGTGGCTTGGTACCACCAGTGTGTTGATGTGGAGTTGTGAATGGTAATGAGCAGCCCCATGATTTCTGTGTTATATTCTATGGGCACAAATCGGGCTTATGAGGGGACAGTGGTTTTGGGATGATCCTGAAAAAAAATCATGTGGATCCATGCATCATTTCTATATTTTTGTACCACTACAAAACCATGAATTGAAGGATCCATGATTTCTGTAGTGTAGTCTGTGGCTGCAAACAGGATCTATGATCTGAAATTGGTTGAGAGGAATCATGTAGAAGTATAAACTATGAGTAAAGTGAGTAAACATACTCATGAACAAACCAGGTAAAATATGCTTGGAGATCATTCAAAGACACAAAGGGAAAGAACAGTAATTTCACAGCTTAAATGAGTGAGATGCTGTATATTATTATCTATTTTTAAAAATACCTTTTAAAATATTTCCACATGCGGAAGCTAGGAATGTGTGGCCAGGAAGGAGGTAAATGCGTTTTTCCCCCATATAATTGACAGACATGCCCTGTGGGCTGACTGGAGACACATTTGGATTGGTCAGAATGCATTGCTATGCAAATAGTTCCTTCAGAATTTTCAGAAATTATTAAAAAGGGACAATTTCAGAAATTTTAGGGGCTAAAAAGCAGTAATTAAAGGGTCTGAATTAGACCCACAAATGGCCTGATTCCCATGGATGAAAAAAGAGGTTAAAATGGATTTTTTTTCACCCAGGTATACAAATGTTATCTACCTTTTTCCATCTCTTTTCAATCAGCTGTAGCTAAAAGTTGCTTGCTTGTGCACAGGGTAAAACAGTATTACTTTTTTAAAAAGTCACAACTTAAAAAGCCTTTGCCCAAACATCTCTCTGACTTTCTGCTACATCTGTGCCAAATTTTGTGCTGATCTCAGGTCCAGTTTCATAGTTATAATTTTTTTTGTTTGGGGCACCCCATTCTTTGATTTTGCTTCTAAGACCCTTTTTGCTGTGCTTCCTCAAAATACCATGGTGTCACAATAAACAGGTGTGCTTCGGCAGAACATTTCTTTGCTACAGTTTGAAAGCTAGTTTTTTCTATATTGAGAAATTACTAAAATGCTAAAAATATGCTATAAATGATTACATCGTTCAAGAAAGGACTCAGTCCACACAGCCATCCTATTTTCTTTCTCCTCTTCTGAAATGATAGTCTGAC